GGCCCCCCCCCCCCCCCCCCCCCCCCCCCCCGTGCACAAATTTCGTGCACCGGGCCTCTAGTCAGAATATATGCATGCTATGTTCATACCAGCACAATTTACAATCCTATATAATAAAAGGCTAATATGCAAATTGACCAAACTGCGGAAAGACCAGTTGCTGTGATGCACACTGACCACGAGAGGGCAGATGCTCAATGCAGGACCTGCCCCCTGGTGGTCAGTGCGCTCCCATAAGGGGAGCGCCGCTCAGCCAGGCTCATGGCTGACAAGCACAGTGGCAGTGGTGGGAGCCTCTCCTGCCTCCATAGCAGTGCTAAGGTTGTCCAACTGACGGCCCAGGGGGAGCGGGCCTAAGCCGTCAGTCAGACATCCCCCAAGGGCTCCTGGACTGTGAGAGGGTGCAGGCCAGGCTGAGGGACCCACCCCTCCTCCGTGCATGAATTTTGTGCACCGGGCCTCTAGTAGGTAAGATTTGAAAACAGCCCAAGTGCCCATCAGCAAATGAGTGGATAAAAAAATTTGTGGTACATTTACACAATGGAATACTACAGGGCTGTAAAAAAGAAAGAACTTTTACCATTTGCAACAGCATGGATGGAACAGGAATATTATGCTAAACAAAATAAGCCAGTCAGAGAAAGATAAGTATCATATTATCTCACTCATACTAGTATGTGGAATCTAGTGAACAAAATAAACTGAAGAACAAAATAGATCCAGAGACTTAGAAGCATGAAACAGACTGTCAAACCTCAGAGGGAAAGCAGGGGAGGGTGGGTGGGTAGGAAGAGATCAACAAAAGAACTTTTATGCATATATGCATTACCCATGGTCACAGTCAATAGGGTGGTGAAGACGTGGGGCGGGCTAGAGGTGGTCAATGGGAGGAAAAAGACATATGTAATATTTTCAATAACAAAGAGTAAAAAAAAGGAAAACGTCTTCATTTACAATAACATCAAAAATAACATACTGAGGCCCTAACCGGTTTGGCTCGGTGGATAGAGCATCAGCCTGCAGACTGAAAGGTCCCGGGTTCAATTCTGGTCAAAGGCATGTACCTTGGTTGTGGGCACATCCCCAGTAGGAGGTGTGCAGGAGGCGGTTGATCGATGTTTCTCTCTCATCGATGTTTCTTGCTCTCTATCCCTCTCCCTTCCTCTCTGTAAAAAATCAATAAAATATATATTTTTTAAAATAACATACTGAGGAACAAATTTAACAAAAAATGCAAAATGTATACTACAAAATTTGCAAAACATTGTTGAAATAATTTTTAAAAGACCTAAATTAGAAAGATATCCCATGTTTCTGGATCAGAAGAATTAATATTAAATGGCAATACTCCCCAAATTTATATACACATTCAATGCAATTATATCAAAATCCTAGCTGGTTTCTTTGTACAACTGATAAGTTAATCCTAAAATTCATAGGAAAATGCAGTAGACACAGAATAGACATAATAATCTTCAAAAAGAATAAAGATGACTCATACTTCCCTATTTCAAAACAGTACAAAGCTACGGTAATCAATACCATGTGCTACTGGCTAAGGATAGACACACTAGTATAGATCAGTGGAATAGAATTAGAATTTACACACACACACACACACACACACACACACACACACACCTCACTTTTATGGATAATTGATTTTCAACCAGGGTGGCAAAAATATTCAGTGAATAATGAGTAGTCTTTTCAGCAACTGATTCAGGGACAACTGGATACACACTCACAAAAGAATTAATTTGTACCTTTATCTCACACCATAGACAAATATAAACAAAAAGTTATAGCTAACACTATAAAAATCTTAGAAGAAAATATTGGGGTAAGTTCTTTATGATTTTGAATTAAGCAACAGATTCTGACATATGCTAAAAGCACAACAAAAAATAAAAATTAAATCAATTGTACTTCATCAAAACTTAAAACTTTTGCATCAAAGGACACTAACAATAAAATGAAAAGACAATACACACAATCAAAGATAATATTTTCAAATTATATACCTGATAAGGGATGTGTATCCAGAATATATATAAAAAAACCTCTTAGAATTCAAAAATTAAAAGGCAAGTAACTCAATTAAAATGAAGAAAGATCGCAATAGACATTTATCCAAAACAATGACCAAAAGGCAAATGAAAAGATACTTAACATCATTAGTCATTTGCAAAATGCAAAACAAAAATATAATGAGATACTAATTAACACATACTAGGATGGCTATAAATGTTGGCAAAAATGTGGAAAAATTGGAACTCTCATACTTTGTTGGTGGGAATGGAAAATGTTGTAGCCACTAAGGAAAACAGTTTGGCAGTTCCTCAAAATGTTAAACATGCATTTACCCTATGACTCAGCAATTCCATA